GCACGCGCCGGCCACTGTGGGCTTGCCTTGGAGTGGCTGAAGGGTCCGAATGCAGCCGCCCCTTCCCCAGGGCAGGGCTGGTGACTCGGTCTGGGAGGGGGACGGCTGGGATGTGCCTGCAAATCCCTCCTCTTCCTCCTCCTCCGCATGCGATGACTCCTAAAATAGTGCAGGCGGTGGGAAAAGGGGAGGTAGGGCTTCCAGCGTGAGATCTTCGGGTGAAAGCTTGACCTCTCCTGGCCAGCAGGAGCTGCCCGGACTTCTGTCTGGAGGGAATTCACTCCCCTTGGCCTGAGCTCCTACCTCAAAGGCGCTTTGTTTCACTCACGCCAGTCGCTCTCCTGCAAAACTCAGCCTTTGCACGCGATGTCAGCGGTGACATAGCGCAGACGTCGCTGCTGTTTTGATAACACCAGCAAGGACTTGGTATCAGGAATGCCTTAGCAGATAAGAAAGGTAGAGACATGCAACAGCTCGTGCACGGTCATGTCCCGAGAGGAAGAGGAAGGTAACCTTGATCTCTGCTGCATGCCTGCAGGACGAGATCTCACATGCGAGCTCCTGTCTCGGCTCTGTCTGGGCCCTAAATCTCATTTATTCAGGCAAAACTCCCACAGTTTGCAGTGAGGAGTTTTGCCAGAGTAAATACAGCAGATCTGGGCCTTTGCCCCATTTCGTTTAGCCGTAGGCGGATTGATTGCTCCGTGGGGAAACCCGTGCTCAAGCCACGCGTCCCTCCCTTCTCCGTGTTGCCCGATGCACGGATTCAAGTCCCTGAACTCCTACAGGGTTTGGGATGGTTCGGAAGGATCCGTGCGCCTTTCCCTTTCCATCCTGTAACCACACGGGAGCAGCTCAGGAGGACGCATCTGGTGTTCGGGCTTTGCTTCTGCTTGTGCCGCTGTTTTTCTTTAATTCTCCTCTGCCCCGAGAGCTGGGGTGCTGATACGCAGCTTTACGCAGGGTTTAAGGGCTCCTGTAGATGCGATGTGGTTGGGAAGCGCTACCCAACCCTCTCCTTCCTCCTGCTTGCTTTACTCCTGGTTGTAAGCTCTATAAATCCTCACGGTTTAGGGTGTAAAGCAAATTCTGACCCATTTAAGATGGGAGCAATCCCCCTTGCTGGGATGTTGGACCAGAGTTTGCTCCGTGTTGCCAATAATTTGGGGTGTAAACTGGAATGATTAGGAAACGTGCACTATGCCAGCTCTGAATTCGCTGATTTTGCTGCGAACGAAGGGCTAAATGCGGCGTGTGGCGAGTTTAGATGGGTAGATAGCGCTTGGCAATTTAAACAGCCTTTCCGTGTTCCCTTGAGTTATTTCTGCTGTCACAGAGTGTTCCTCCTTTTAATTAGGATTTTTTAAATATAGTTACTGTAGAGTATTTTACAATGTGTGAAAAAACTGTAACAGAATAATATAATTATGTTAGAGACTATGATTTGCCATTAAATATTACACAGACATCGCTCTGGGTTGTCTTTCCTTTAAATACCAAACCGTTAGAGCTGTCCCATTATCTCGTGTTTATTTTTCTGTGTCCTGTACATCTGGCATAAAATAACACAGATTTTATTTTCCAAGGGTGTCTAAGGGAATTGTGCCAAATACACATTTTTATTGCTTGACTACAAAAGGAGCGGAAGAATCCTAAAATGCAATAACAATATTGTCAGTCCTGGGCAATTCAAAACAATGAATTGCCTCAGTTCTCTCTTCTACCTTGGTCCTCAGCTTAGAAATAACAAAGATGAACAGATTAGGCATGTTTTCCTTATTTTTTTCAGCTTTTAGAGTATAAATTTCCAAGGTTTTCTATGTGACAAGGAGGTCTAGAACTTCCCACGCATGCTGGCATTCGCACTGGCACATTTTTTTAAACGAAGGCTGAGTTTCTTAATACCAAATATCGGCTGGAGCTAAGAGAAAAACATTATTGGGTGAGTTTTAGACCATGAGAGGTGGCAATGCTTTAGCTTCTGTGGAAGCCGAGTTGGTGTCTGCTACTGACTTTAATAGGAGAGGAATTGGGACTGTTTGTTACAAGCATTTCTTAAAAGGGAAACTTACAGCTTATTGAAAAAAAGTGGATATGAAAAGCACAAACTTGTTCTTTTCTTGCCAAGAACCGTACAGATTATGTCACTGCATTTATTTAAATCTGGTTTCCATTATCCAGTGTTTCTGCTTTTCTCCCCACATCCCATCTGGTTCTCAGGCACTCAGACAGGGCTGGGCTACAAACCCTGCAGGACAAAGCTCAAGGCCATATAAAAAAATATAATTTAGGGGAAAAAAAAAAAGATAATTGAGGGTAATATATGTTTTTTATATATATTCGTATATTATTGATATACAGTTGTCTGTTATTGATACGAGGAATCTTTCAAAACACATGATTAGTTTTGCAGGGCTTCTATTTTTAATGAAACTATGCAGTCGTTAATTTTTTAAGAATTCCTCCTGCTTGCATACCTGGAGGCAGGAGATTAGACCTTTGCTGTAGCTCTGCCAACGCTGCAGATTTTACTGCCCCCAGATTCCCTCCCTCTCTCCCGACAGACAGACAGACAGACACGGTCCTGACTTGTTTACAGGGAGACCTGTTACTCCTTCCAGTTTAACACTCTCCAATATAAAGGGGTAATTTTAGGATGTGACTGATTCCAGCATGGGAAGCAACCACTACCGTGATCAAAAATCCATTTGCAAGTGTGCGAAACACAAAATGTAAAATAAAAAATTCTTGGAAATGGAGCGAGCATCTTTGCTGTTTAAGGAGCCAAACCTCATTTTATGTGCTGCACCATCACATACCTGGGATGATTTTTATTCTGCTCTACCAAACAGCTGAATTCTACCCATTCCACCTACTGAAAGTCCAATTTTGTCTCCATTTCACTTAATTCTGGGCTCTTCCCTGGGACATCCCACCAAAAAGCGTTAAAAATCACTTTGTGGTTGCACGGGATATGCAAACAGCTCCTTCTTGCATGTAAAACTGGACAGACTCCTAGGGAAAATGTTTTACCCCCTAGTGAGCCAGCCAGGAAATGTCTTC